CGTGTTTCAATCACCAAGTGATCACTTCATGAGAAAGATTGAACTAGGTTAGGTTAAGTTAGGTCTAAAGTGAGTGGGTCTATTTGACCTTCCACTGCAACCCGCAATGGTTTATGAACCCAGCTTCTTAACGAAGCTGATTAGTTTGTACAGTGAGTGGACGTTCAGGTCAGATAGTGAGAGTACGGCTCTGCCGAACTCTAAGAACCTGATTCGGTTCCCAGCGGGGCAGGCACATAGTATATGCTCTGCTGCTCCATCATTTTCCAAACAGAAGCGACACACACTATCTTCCGACAATCCAAGTCTCTGCATATCATGATTCAAATGACAGTGACCTGTAAGAAGGTCTGTTAGATATCATAGTTCATCCCTACTGTAGTCCAACAACTGCTTGATATCAAGCTTAGAAGGGTGAATAAACGCCTTGGAGTGAGTCAATCCTGGAAGATTCCACCAGAAGTTCATGAATCTTCTTGCCATCTAGGTGTTCAAGGTTTGTTTGGCAGAACCTAAGGCGATGCCAGTGACAGGTTCTGGTCCGATGAAGCTGCTTGCAGTACACTCTTTCGCCAGGGAGTCAGCAGCCTCATTGCCTTCCAGGCTAGTATGGCCGGGAAAGATTAAAGTAAGTCTACATTCGATATTGGCTTTATTTATAACAAAGATACCTCCGCTAGGTACCTGCGTCTCAAATATCTCGATCACCAAATGATCATCTTCAAGAGACAAATGAAACTAAGTCTACGCTTCTATGTTCCCTCCCGGGTTGAGTGCCCTGAGATGAAGTCTTCCCCATACGGTTACTGTGTGCAGAACATTCCATCCCGTCCATCACCCCTCCTCTGGAGCGGTCCTCAACTTACTGATGGGCTTTTCAACAAGATTGACATCTGACGTATTGCGGTCAAAAGCCAGTCTTGAGCTGATTTCACTTTATTATTGTAATATTTTATTGAGTCGTGACTTTACTTGAATGTAATTCCGAAAACGAGTGTATTTACATCGCGAACAAGTGTTTCTCAGTGAACCTGCAAAAGAGGTGATTTTGAAATCTGGTTGAAAAGTTTTCATACTTACCGGAGCTGCTTGATAGCGACTCTAGAGGCTGGTCTCTGATTCTGCTTGGTTGGCCTCTTGTGTTTATCTCTTTCTTGGAATCTGGGGTCATCCCAATTTAATGCTTCGTGTAGATCGCGTAACGCTCGATTGACGTGCGATCGAATTCTGTCGACTAAGTCTACATACCATATTGGCCTTATTTATAATAAAGATACCTGCTAGGTACCTGCGTCTTAAATGTCTTTAAATTAATTCGCAGACTTAGTTCAATCTTCCTCTTGAAGATGGTCACTTGGTTTTGGAATAGAACTCCAGTAGGTAATAGTCATCACTACACCAAAGGTTACAAACAGTGCATCACAGGATTTTTTCAATTTGAAATGTTTCCACAGCGCCTTATGTGCACGAAAAACTGTAACGCAATATTTGCCGTTTGACGATAAACGTTTGCTTCCACAATCTAAATACTACAAATTTCTACAACACAGAAATACTTACTCATTTGGATGACTGAAATAGATACTAATGATATCAAAATAATATAGACTCAGGCCGCAAGTTTTCGATATACAGTGTTTGTCAGTACTAGAAAATTAAGATGGAGCATTTAAAATGCTCTCGCTCACAGAAAAGTTTCCTTATAAAATATGGAGCTGTATAGATGAATACACAGAGTTCTAAAGCCATAGTAAAAATAGTTTCAGAAAATATTTCAATTCCAACATTGAAACCTTCCGGCAAAAACTTCTAAAATGAAATTTTTTGGTAAAATAAATTCGAAATGAATGTATAGTTCACTCCTTTCGGGAATAAGAAAGAAAGAAATTTGATAATAAACTTAACGACTGGTATAGGACACATGGAAGTTATTGAACATCCTCATAAGGAAATTATTTCACGAAAGAGTTCACATATTTGAGTAGGTTCATTCAGGATCGAGAGCAGCGGATTATTTTGGTCTCAGGTTCCCTAGAAATTTAGATAGTTGGATCTGTAAAATAGCATAAGGTTTCATATGAAAAACACCAAATCCCACAGTAACCTATTCAAAATTCTCTTCCACAATGAAATGACATATTCTTTCAGAATCCCGTTCTGAGAAAAATAACTGACAATAAATGACAATAAAATTGTTTTCGGAATTCAGTTTTTGAAATTTGTTTTGGTCTGTTTTTATGATAATACTCAGTCGAACCGTCCGGTATATACTCATGCAACTCTATATTTTTTCAAATAACTTTTCACGAAAGTTATGATTCAGCCAGTATTAGAGAAAAATTGGTCAAATTTTAATTTTATAATGAAAAAAATTGTTTCAATACAATTCCATAACAAAACGAAGTTTTGTATGAAAATTGCGACGTATGAATACATCCATTTTTCGAATTTTTCCAAAAATAACTTTTGTACCGCTTGGTACACACCACACAAAACCCAAAATTTTTCGAAAGTGATTTTCTAACGTAATGTGAATATGAAAAAAACAATAAATATCATTCCTTCTAATAAAACATAACTTTGATACACTACGCTTCTACTGTGTACCCAGGATACTGGATAATATTTCCAAAGAGCTTAATGCATCGATATAAAAGGCGTTCATGCATAAATTTGACACAACCTTTAAGTCAGAAACAGATGTATACCTACTCGAAAATTTCAAAGAACACGCCAATTTTTATTTTCAGGAGGACTAATTCTGCTATGGAAATCATACCCGAAACTTCACCCCCCTGCAGCCAGCAACAACCCCCTCTATTTTTGTCAAAGCAAACGGGGTCGAGTGATACACCATTTGAAAGGTCTTTGGCCCTCTACTATCTCTATGATTTTTTTCGAAATTGGTTCATTTGTTATTGAGAAATTGAATGATGAACGTTTTATTTAAGAAAAACCAGAAAATTCGCTGTGGTTCATTTAATTGAGGAAATCAACAGAAGTAATATCAATGGCAGCACAATCAACAGATGAAGTGTTCAAAATTACCTCTATCTAGTTCCATACAATAATATAGTCTACTTTCGAAAGCGTACCTTACTCTATTGAAGATGTCCGGAGTCAGAAAGAGGCATTCCCGAACAGTTCTCTGTCGCAGGTCTTCTAGATTTGTAGAATTCATTTAATTAGTGGTAAACGTTTTGAAATGGACGACACTGTTAGTTTTTTCTGTACTGGTAGTTTTTGTTGAATCTAGTTGTCGCAGAGGAAAAAGTAGATAGTTGGCCACTGTCACTTCTTCACGAATTATTATTCAGTCATCCTTGTCCACCGTGTTCCAACATGGTTGGAAATTGTTGCAACCTATTATCGAAATAATGAATGTGCTGAAGCTACTGCAAGAATTTATAATACGAATCATGCAGACCACAACGTGAGTCATCAATACGTTAACCAGTTAATGAATAAGTTTCGAACTTCAGGTTCTCTTCACAACAGAAAACATGAAGTATCCCGTCCTGTCAAAAATGATGAAGTTGAATTTGCAGTTTTAGGACATGTACAAATGGATAATCGACAATATATCAGACAAGTAGCTAGAGCATCTGGTGTATCAGATACTAGTGGTTTTCGGATTTTGAAAGCCTACAAATTCCATCCTTTCAAAATAAGGCTAGTTCAGGAATTGAACGAAGATAATTCTGATCGTCGACTTCAGTTTTGTGTGGTGTTCAGTGAGAAATTGACCATTAACCCAAACGTATAATACAATACATGTTTTTAAGACGATAGTTATTTCATGTCGAATGGTGAAGTGAATATAAATAATTGTCGTTACTGGAGCGATGTGAATTCTGATTTGGTGATGGAAACACATTCACAAACTCCATAAAAATTGAATGTCTGGGCCGGCATTCTTCGTAATCATATTGTTGGACCATTCTTCATTGAATTTCAATGGAGATACATACTTATATCTTTTACAAGACTGTGTATATCCTATGATCACACGAATTTTAAAAAATTATGAAAATTTAGTAAAAAGTGAAATAATATTCCAGCAGGATGGTGCAACCCCACATTTTGATGTTCGGGTGAGACAGTTTTTGGACGAACGTTTTTCAATGCGTTGGATCGACAGAAGGGATCCAGTGTAGTTGTCAGCTAGATAACCTGATCTCACACCGATGGAATTCTTTCTGTTGGGACACCTGAAGTCGAAAGGGTACTCTACTAAGCCTACAAATCTAGAAGACCTGCGACAGATGATTGTTGGGGAATACCGATTGCTGACTCCGGACATCTTGAATAATATACAGAACGCTTTCGAGAGTAGACAGTATGGAACTAGGTGAAGGTCATTTTGAACAATTTATCCGTTGGTTTTGTTTCCACTGATATTATTTGTTGTTGATTTCCTCATCAAAACGAACGACAGCGAATCTTATATATAAAACGTTCAACATTCAATTTCTCAATGACGAATGAACCAATTTCGAAATGACTCACAAAAGTGAAAGTGGTATGAAAGACTCTTCAAACGATGTACCTCGACTCCCCCCATGCCATTGAAAAAAATTGGAGGGGTAGTTACTGACCAGGGGGGTGCATTTTCGGCTATGATTCCATTATCAGAATTAGTACCCCTAGGAATAGAAATTGACGTGTTCTTTGAAATTTTCGATTACACGCCCGTTTCTGACTTACAGGGGGGGGTTAAGTTTTCGTTGGAACGCCCTGTATAGAACTCACCGACCATTTTTGATAACGTTACTTCTTCATCTGAAACTTTTAATAAAAGCTTGATGTGACACACTTTTATGCCTACCTTAGTTATTCAGAACTTTGAGCAACTCATATTTGATAAAACGGTATACACCTTGACGAAATTCTTTATTTTTCCATCACTGATTCCCAATTCGAAGGTGAAAATATATCCAAAGAACTACCTGTGCATAGAATTGAAGTTTACATATTTAACATATTTTCTTTTGTTTCAGTGCCTCCCCGAATACACTTCGTAACGTCCAACGGTCGCGTAGACGTGAAAAAAGGTGTTTCGATAAAACTCGAGTGCAAAGCCTCAGGCATTCCTCCGCCGAAAATAACGTGGTCGCGAAAACACAGTCTCTTACCGGATAACGTACAAACGGCTGTTACCCCAATTCTCAGTCTTGAAAAGGTCGACAGGCACCAGGGCGGTTCATACCAGTGTACAGCAAGTAATGGAGTAGGTGAAGACGTTTCGGAACAAATTTTCGTTAATGTTTTATGTGAGTATTGAACTATTTCTCAGTAAAATCAGCACTGTATCTTGCATTTGCTGAAACCAATTTTGTAATACCAAATCCTAGTAACAATTTTAGTGTTTCATATCTTTCAATATCGTGATCAACAGATAATCATTAGTTTATTATCTTGGGACATTGTAACAACCCAAGTGATTATTACTTGATTCTCATGTTTTTTAGGATGATTAGCTACAACCGGTAAATTAACATGTCTGTCTGAATATACTCATTTGATTACCGTACCTAATGAGTTTTCTTTGAAGCGCGTATCCATATGAACCAATATCCTGTAACGTAGTTTAGCGAGGTAAGAAACAGAGAACCATGAAACAGACAAGGATATAAAGGGTGACAATTTGAAAATTCACAATGCCTTTATCTGAGCAACCAAATAAAAAATAAGCAATCGCTGGAAACGACTTCCATAGTAGGAAAGGGAAAACAAAATCATGTAATAACTTACTTGTTTTCACTTACCCACACGTCCCCAGCCACCCCAACTTCACATTCTTGAATGGCAACCTCCTACTTGTGATACCTTATCCGAAAGCTCTCAAGAAAAGCACTTCGATAGTACCCTACAAGGCTACATTCGATGTAGTAAGTTTTGGTTCATTAAATAAAACACTATTTATCTGAATTGATATTTTATTTTTCATTAATAATTTAGTTTATTAGTTGATATACACATATTACTCATTAATTAATTGATTTATTATTATATCAGTTTATTAATTCAGTTAAATCTTTCTCTTGAAGATGATCACTTGATGATTGAAACACGTATCGAGGTGTTAGAAATAACGGTTTGGTGTTGGGATCAAACTCCAGTAATATTCATTACTACACCAAAGGCTCCAAACAGTGCATCACAATTCAGGAAATGTTAAAAAACATTCTAATTACCATCGTAACATTAATATTCAGGCTCTTCGTACCTGAAAAAATTTGACTTAGTTGATAAGTAAAAGTAACAAAAAGGGTCGTTTGAATTATTCGCTTTTGAGAGATAGTTTTGCATTGCATTTTTACTTTAAGACGGGAAACGATACTCTTCTTTGAGTGCGTCCATGAGAACTGTCGTGTAATACATTTGATTTTTATTTCGATACGTTGTACACGTGAAATAAAACTTTTATCTTCAACAATAGTGAACAACCCAGCAGAACGTGTGAAAATGATTTCGAATTATGGTAGAGAAGATCAGTGTTCCTTAAGAACAACTAAAGTATTTAACCAGAGACACCTAAAGGGAAATGTAAGTCACGTGTAAGTTCGCCAACTAGTAGCAAAATTTCAAGAAATTGGTACTGTCAAAAATAAAAAAAGGAATCAGCCAAGATTACTGGACGTAGCATCAAAATTGAAGTACTTGGACAGTTTGCAATAAATCATACTTCATCGTATGATTACAACAGATTAAATGGAAGCGAAATATTGAAGACAGGCAATGTTGCACGGTTGGTGCTTCTGTAAGTGCGTTCATGAGAACTGTAGTGTAGGAGCCCAAGTCATTCGACCGCTAGCGCCTTCATTAAAATGAGAATGTCACAAAAAATCGGAAACAGAAAACAAATGACAAGCGAATTTGATGAGTGTATTAGTTGAGCTGGGAAGGTGGGTGAGGAAGATAATAATAAAAATGCAATATGAATTCTGAACGTGCATCGTATTCAGGAGGTCGTACCGCATACTCAGCTTATACATTTATTTTACATTTAAAAACTTGAAAAATTAAACATGTGTAGTTAGCCGTGTACAAGGCGACTGAACTATTTTTATAATTCCATAGGTCAGTTCAGTAAAACAAATTAAACTCTCAGTAACTCAATTAGTCCAATAATGAGCAAGAAAAATTGAAGTCAAAGTTTGATCTAGCACATAACATACAGTCAGGTACTCTTATGTTGAAATATAAAGACTGATACATAATTTCGTTGCCATTCGCTTAGAGGTGGTAATACTATTCAGATTCATATCCAGGAATCATATTTCTGCAATTGACCGGCCAAGATGTCTGCCTTCGTGCGGCAAGTCGGCATGATCTTGAGATACGAGAGAACTTCAATAATCAGAACAATCATCTCAAAGTAATCTTCATACAGTCTGCGTAGTTTGAGTAGAACATGTCGATCTTTCGTCCATTTTCCCTTACGATATTTTTTTCACTAGGAGCCGAAATCTCTACGACGAAAATCATTTTCCTCTGATGGCCTGAAAGAACCACATAATGCTTATTAGCTTGCATGCTGAGAATGGAAAATTGATAGTTCTAACAAATTCAGCACTTATCATTTTCCACGACGAATTCAATATCGCCCGGTGCGTAGGGCAACACCGGTATCTCGCCAATACCGTTTCAGTAACGTAGATGATGATAGAGCACTCTAAGGGCTACATTACGGCGATGAATATAGGCTGAGACTGCATATGCTGGACATGATGACAGCAAGTGGATTGAGATCTCAAGCACCTCACGGCAGGTTCTGACCTCGTGTCAGAAAACTTCACATTACACCCATGACGTAACTGCGGTAGACAAGTTGAAGACACCATTCTGGCATGCCATGTTGAACTCCTCAGTTTCGGGTCTCAGCCCAATCGACTGGAGGAAAGCGAAGATCAGGTGCTATGGTAGGCCGGGGTGTTCAATGTTGTTGAAGAAGACCTCATGCGTTAGCTTATTCTTGTGTGGTGGCAAGAGTGAAGTGATCAATGTAGCTTTCATGTGGGCCTTTTTGCTGTCGCTCGAGCGGCTACCTTAAAGAGAAATTTTTCAACTCCGGCTCTCTCATAGTCGCGGATCATGCATAGAAGGGGATCCGAACTCCTGATGATTTCGCAGGCTCCATCTGGTATCATTCAGTTATGCAGACAGTCCAAACTCAAAAGTCTACGGTCTATCTGTTGTCGAAAGGAAGACAACTGTTAAACAGATGATTTGGAATACAAACTCCCATGAAGATGCATTCTTTTTTCGGATCCTCACGTCGAGTTGAAACAGCTCCTCTCGAAACCACTTCACTATTTCAAACGAGTAGAGTGAAACTGGAATGGCAAGCATATTCCTAGCAACAACTTTGTTTTTCCCCGACAGTTCGGACGACCAGATCTGTCAGAGTTTGTGCTGATTGTTGCCGCAGGGAGTAAGTTCTTCACTGCTGTTACCCCTTGTGAATGGCGTTTCTTCCTCCTAAGGTAAGGAAGTATACGTCTCTCCAGCATCTGAATAGTAAAGAATCTACGAGATACACATCTTCTGAAAACTGATGGAAATCCATTTTTTTCAGAGGTATAAAGGTTAGGCTCATTTATATAAAACAAATGAGTGACCTTATGCCTCCTGTTTCCGGTCACAATTATATCTTCGAGTATTTCTGAGCACAACAGATAATGGCAATAGTGAGATGAGGGGACCGAGGATCGAGTAATAGTCATTACTATTATCATTATAATTTTTTTTTAATAGCTGATCATTCTGATTATACAAAGTTCCATTGAAGTGTATAATTGCTATGTTGTTACCCCATTCTGCAGACTGAAAACCAAAATTTTAAAAGTATACCTTTGATGGATGATTGAACGGAAGTGGCCTATACTTGACAAATACACGTAACAGAACTTACTAATCTAGTTTACTGTGAGATTTTCATCATAAAAAGTCTACAAAACAGTATTTTACTATACGATAGCTTTCTCAATCGTGACTGATAAATTACTTCTTGATTATAACAAAATATTCTAGAAACATAAGTTATTAGCTACAATCCAATGAGATAATTATTTGTAAACTATGTTTGCCGACTGAAAAAAAAGTATACATTCTTCAATTCACAAGTGGAAATATGTAATTATTGATTATCACAAACTATTCATTCCTAGAGACTTCTCATGAGTATTAAGTAAGAACAGGAACAATTTGGTTGTTATTCAGATATTGTAAATTTTGTAATCAATCAATTCCAACTCTTTCTAGAAGTCCAAGTTTCAAAAGTTCCTTCTGGATTTGAAAATTTTTGAATTCATGATTCGACTCGTGTCCCTTCGAAATCGTTTTCTCTATATGAAAGTTTTTTATGCGTGCTTCAAATGTTCTTCCAGTTTGATCCATGTAAAACATCGAACACGAACCACAAAACAATTCATACATTCATGAACTATCTCATACCAAATATGACCTCTGTTATTTTCAATATGCACGAAATATGGTTATAACTTTCGGAAAAGAAAAGTTAAATATAGTCTTGACTCATTACTAACTGATTGCACTGTATTAATAAGTTTTGTATGAATTTACATTCTACATTGCGGTATTTGTATTACGAAAAACACATTTATCAGTGACTTTCATATCAAGATAAAAAAATGCATTTCGTACGTTTCAAAGTGGTTGGTAATGCTTCTTGGCGAATATTACAAATACGGACTTTCATTGTTGTTAACAACAAAAGTAATTTCTGAAAACAAATAAGCAAAAAGGAATAGAAAAAATTATAGAAACGCTGATTTGTAAATGAGTTAACGTAATCTGTAATGAAAATGATTTTTAATAAGGAGTTGAACAAAAACTGAAATGAAACCAGAACCTAAGAGCTCATTATTTTTAACAGCTGACCGCGCTGATGTCTGATCAATAATGCTAAGCTGAACTACCCAACTTTTCTTGAAGAACAAGCCTTAAAGTGAAGGCTATAACATCTCCTTTTACGAAATCACAATCACAACAAGGCTCTATCCATGAATATCAAAGTAAAATGAGGTTCTAGAAGGCAATCCGTTGCACAGACAAGCTTTGCTTTGATATGTGCATGATCAAATATTTCCCATTTGATAATTTTTTCTCGCTAGGTGTTTTCCTTGTGCTAACTTTCAACGAATTTTTGGTTTTATATGGTTTTCGGTAACTGGTGAATGTAGAAATTTGCTACATTCATTAAAATTTCTGTTAGGATGTCAGATACTAATGTCCGGTACTAATGAATAGCTATATTGTGAACAGCTTTTTATGAGAAGTCATAAAATTCTACTTCAATGACTTTTGGAATTCTCTTTCATCTGTTTTCCTCATAGGCAGAGATGAAATGAATTTACATGTTATTCGTGAAAGAAATTCTTCGAAGGCAC